TACCTCCTTAGCTTAGTCCCTAGGTATTATGTACAAGTGAGAGAGACCCAGGAGAATGGAAAATGTGCGTTGAACGGTGGAAATGCTAAAAACGAATGACATATCCGTAATCAGGACCCTAAATAACCCCTATGTGCAAGTTTACAGCGAATTTGGTGAAAACACCCTTGGCGCCAAATTGGCGCCAAATGGCGCCAGCGCCAAAAATGAACCTCATTTTCGTGATCAGGGCACCGAATTACCCCTATAGGCGAAGTTTCGACGAAAAATAAAATTTTGAGTTTTTGGGGTCGTAATAGTTGAATAGTGCCAAAGAAAACTTTCCCCATCGTCCACAAAAAAAAGCATGAGCAACTACATTTTGTTGGCATCGGTCCTGGATCGCTGGAAGGATGGGATCCTCAGAGAACCGCCCGCTTAGTTTCTTGCATTACCTAAATAGGCTAGCGTTGTGCTTGCGCTTCATTCTGTAAACTCGCTGCAAACATCATTTCTAAGACATTATCTAAGGCCAAACTTTGTTTTATAAAAGGAGCAATTTGGTACGGTTCGTTGTGGATAAAATAGTTCAGGCTAACATTGACTCCAGTTGGTGGGAAGATTAGGATCCTGGAAGTATATTCTTGCATTATTTTGGTCGCGGATTGGCTAAGTTACGAACGTATTGTGTATAAAACTATCTATAAAACGACTTTAGGGCTCGAACCGCTGAAAAAGTACGTTACTTCGCGTTTTTGGTTCACATATAGGAGGAACTTCGCGCCGATCGGTGAGTTACAAAATGAGACAAAAACCGATTTAGATCTATTTGGCTTCTTTGATGATTTTGGTTGGTCTGAACTTTTATAAATGGGTGTAATCCCTTACGTAGGGCTTAGTCATTGATTTAGCGGAACTGAACAAAACCTATCTCACAGGGTAAGCTTGTCACCGAATGTAGCGGCATCACTTGATAGAAGCAGCGCGGGTGAGCTGTCTCTCAAATACGTGGCTGAAAATCTACAAACTTTAGTGAAAGCAACTTATTTTCGAGACTTCTATCAAGTGAGGTGCCGCCAGTATATCGGTGACACGCCTACTCATTGTTTCTAGTCCATCATCGAGTGGTTTTCATAATGAGGTGTTTTCCTGGTACAAGCGTGCTACTGTATGCATTTCTGTGTTAGCTTAGCAACTCTGTAATTTTTTTTTCGTTGAAGGCGGTACGGGACCGGAAACTGATCAAGGATGGGGTTGTATGTTGCGATGTGCACAGATGTTACTTGGCGAAGTCTTGCTACGAAGGCATATTGGAAGGGATTTTGAATGGAAGGAAGGTGTACCACCGTCAGGTGATTACGAGCGTATTCTGAGGATGTTCCTGGATGAAAAGACTGCATTGTTCTCTATACATCAGATCGGTGAGTGAGCGCTTAAGAAGGCTAAGCTTCCCTGTGTTTCCTTTATAATAGGCAAATTTTAAAGAATCGGTTTTTAAGGTAGTGGATCTTTTGTAAAACATTATTTGCGTTCAAATTTTTCACTTTGATTGCGGTTGTCGTTTAGCGCAAATGGGTGTTTCTGAAGGAAAATCCGTTGGTGAATGGTTTGGGCCCAACACTGCGGCACAGGTACTTAACGTTTTGTCACCCTGTCGAATTATCAATTGTCAACCTTTCCTTTTTTGAAAAATTCTGTTTTTTATGGTGGTGGAAATTCACCTTCTTGTTCAGGTCATAAAAAAGTTAGCTGTGTTTGATTCATGGTCGGGAATAGCCGTACACGTTGCTCTAGACAACATTCTAGTCTCGAGTGATGTTCACACAATAGCCACACTGGCACCACCTAAGGATGCTATCAAGTTGATTATGGGTAAGTTGGTACTAATCCGCTATTGCTGCCCCAAAATCTCGAGAATTAATTTCTCGCCGGAATTTATTCTACAGAGGTAATTCGGTGCCCTGTTTACGAACATGATGTTCATTTTTGGCTTTTAGCGCCATCATGTCACGACAGCTGTTCCATTGAACTCGGTGCCATTTTGTATATAAGGGTTAGTGTCCTGATACAAATATAAAATTCATTTTCGGCGCTGGTGCCATTCCATGTCTGTTTTTGCTTGTCTACGTGTTTTCATAATTACATCGCGATCAGAATCAAACCCTTGGGGAGACTTCACAAGTGTAAGCCACCGATTCTGCGATTTCACACACTTCAATTTTAACCCAATTCACAAAATCGGAGCCCCCTCCCTCTCCTTATGCTTAGATCTAGAGAGACTTAGTGAGCGAGCCCATAGCTGTAAACATTAAGAGCGCTTATTCTGGGAGCGAATGTCATATCCATAATCAGGTTGAGATTTTAGGGCAGTAATAGT